AGACAGAGAGTGGTATTTTTCTAAACCCCTACACCAGTGGCGTACATACCAGGGTCGCAGGGGTCGCGGCTGCGACCGGGCCCGGCCCACCAGGGGGCCCGGCCGCCCCTGCGACCCGGTGTGTACCCATTGGGCCAGCCTCTTCCCCTGGGGGGCCCAGAAGCCGACCACCTCAGGCCCCCCCGAGGCTGGCCCTGCTGACCCTGGCGTGGGTAAGTGGTCGGCTCGGCAGGCGGGCGCGCAGGGAGCACCAGTGCTTCCTCTTCAGCCCTCAAGCATCAAGACTGGATAACGGAGCCGAAGATGACGCCGATCTCTTCCCGCGCTGCATCCCCTGGAGCGGCTACGAGGGAGCTGGAAGAGGAAGGCACTGAGTGCTCCCCTCAAGGCTGCCTCGGGCCTGCCCCACCCAGCCACTCCACCCGGGCCGTCAGCAGCACCACTGGACCCCAGGGAATCCCCCCAGCACTCCAAAAGGTAAGGAGGCTGGGGGGATTACATTTAAAAAAAACCCATGTGTTAGTGTTTGAGTGTGTGAGTGTTAGAGTTAGTGTGTGTCTGCTAGTGAGTGTTAGTGTGAGTGTTAGAGTGAGTGTTAGTGTGAGTGTTAGAGTTAGTGTGTGTGAGTGTGTCTGCTAGTGAGTGTTAGTGTGAGTGTTAGTGTGTGTGTCTGCTAGTGAGTGTGTTACTGTGTGTGTCTTACTGAGTGTGTGTGTGTTAGTGAGTCTGTTTGATGTCTGTCAATGAGAGTGTATGTTTTGTAAGTGAGTGTGTATGTATGTCTGTCGCTGAGTGTGTCTCTGTCAGTAAATGTGTGTGTCTGTTAGCTAGTGTGTATGCGCCTGTAAGTGAGAGTGTGTGAGTCTTCAGCACTTACCTTTCTCCAGCGCCGGACTCCCTTGGCGCTGAGGATCCCTCAGCCTCTCAGCTCCGAATGCGACCGCGCACGCATTCAAACCGCCCTTAGGAAAGCATTACTCAATGCTTTCCTATGGACGTTCAGTGTGCTCCTCTAGCGGCTGTCAGTGAGACAGCCACTAGAGGCTGGATTAACCCTCAGTGAAACATAGCAGTTTCTCTGAAACTGCTATGTTTTCAGCTGCAGGGTTAAAACTAGAGGGACCTGACACCCAGACAGCTTCATTGAGCTGATGTGATCTGGGTGTCTGTAGTGGTCCTTTAAAGGACCACTATAGTGCCAGGAAAACATACTCGTTTTCCTGGCACTATAGTGCCCTGAGGGTGCCCCCACCCTCAGGGACCCCCTCCCGCCCGGCTCTGGAAGGGGGAAAGGGGTAAAACGTACCTTTTTCCAGCGCTGGGCGGAGAGCTCTCCTCCTCCCATCCTCCTCTTCTCCTCCCCGTCAGCTGTATGCGCACGCGCGGCAAGAGCTGCGCGCGCATTCAGCTGGTCACATAGGAAAGCATTCATAATGCTTTCCTATGGACGCTGGCGTGCTCTCACTGTGAAAATCACAGTGAGAAGCACGCAAGCGCCTCTAGCGGCTGTCAATGAGACAGCCGCTAGAGGAAATAGGGGAAGGTTTAACCCATTCATAAACATAGCAGTTTCTCTGAAACTGCTATGTTTATGAAAAATGGGTTAACCCTAGCTGGACCTGGCACCCAGACCACTTCATTAAGCTGAAGTGGTCTGGGTGCCTAGAGTGGTCCTTTAAGTGTGTGTGCATCTGCATGCACTGGCGTACATACCGCGGTCGCAGGGGTCGCAGCCCTGTAACCCCTGCGACCAGGTGCCCACCGCCATGTGTTGCGGCCCGGCCCGAGCGCGGGGGGGCCCACGGATCAATTTTCGCACCGGGGACCCATGGGTCATGTGTACGCCACTGCAATGAGCTATAGTGATAATAGCTCTTAGAGTGCTCCTTTCACTATGAATTAATGAAAATGTAATATAATAGGCAAATACTAAAACATTGTGCATATTAAAACATTCGATTCCCTCCTGCTAGCATTAGTTTAACATGTATGTAACTGTGAATTTGAGAAGCAATGAGCATGTACCGTTACCTGAAGATATAATTAAAAATTGCATTCATTTGAGGATTTGCTACAGAACTAATGGGTAGGATTCACTCCACTCTGAATTTGCAATTTACATTAAAGATTAAATGTGCTTATCCTAAATAGCAAGGATAAGTAACCTCTGGCTTTTCAGCTGCTGTTGGATTACAACTGGGGGCATCTTTACTGCGGGGTAAAAAGGGCAGGTGAGGATGGCATTTATTGCCCCTATACTCCACGATGAACAAAATCATCCTTTTTTTTCTGCTCAGCTCCATCCAGTGGAGTACTAAGGGGAGATTGGGGGGGGCGGTGAGCACCGGGTGCCATCAGGTAGGGGGGTGCCACCAGGGCTGGCCAGGCTTGGGAGTCAGTGAGCTGAGCTGTGTGGCTGCACCGGGTGCCATAGCAGCAGGGGCGCTGGGCAGCCAACACAGCTCACACGCAGGGGCTGGGAGCAGGAGACCTGGCTCAGCTGGCTGCATGGAGAGTTGGGGGCCGAGCTAGAATGGCTGTGGGGGCGGAGCCACGCTGGATGTGGGGGCGGAGCTAAATGCAGCCTCTCTCTGATCACACAGAGGGGAAGCAGGAAGGAGAACCTGCTTCCCCAACTACAGCACAGGAGCCAGAGGGACTGAATCCATTCCTCCTCCAGTCCAAGCTTATTGTAAGTGAGAGAGAGAGAGAGAGTGTGCTGTGTGTAACTGTGATTGTGACTGTGTTTGACTGTGTGTGTGACTATCTGTGACTGTGTGAGTGACTGTCTGCCTGTGATTGTCTGTGTGACTGTGTGTGTGTGACTGTCTGTCTGTGACTGTGTGAGTGACTGTCTGCCTGTGATTGTCTGTGTAACTGTGTGTGTGTGACTGTCTGTGACTGTGTGTGTGTCTGTGACTGTCTGTCTGTGACTGTGTGTGTGTGTGGGTGTGACTGTTTGTCTGTGACTGTCTGTGACTGTGTGTGTGTGTGACTGTCGGTCTGTGACTGTGTGTGTGTGTGACTGTCTGTCTGTGACTGTGTGTGTGTATGTGTGACTGTCTGCCTGTAATTGTGTGTATGTGTGACTGTGTGACTGCCTGCCTATGATTTGTGTTTGTGTATACCTGTGATTATGTGAGTGATTGTGTGCATCTCTGTGTATGTGTTTAGTAGATAGCTCCCTTATTTGGTGACTGTCTGTGACTGTGTGTGCGACTGCCTGTCTGTGTGTGTGTGTGTGAGAGACCGTCTGCCTGTGATGGTGTGTGTGTGTGACTGTCTGCCTGTGATTGTGTGTGACTGTCTGTAACTGTGTGTGTATGTGTGACTGTCTGTCTGTGATTGTGTGTTTGTGACTGTCTGCCTGGGATTGTGTGTGTGACTGTCTGCCTGGTATTGTGTGAGTGTGTGACTGTCTGTGAATGTGTGTGTGTATGTGTGACTGTAGCCCGTGACTGTGTGTGGTACTGTGTGCATCTGACTGTGTCTGACGGTCTTCGCCCTGCAGTGAGAAGGCAACCGGGATATGGTGTCATTGCGGCCTCTGTGTCATTACAGGGCATGCGAGGTACCTGTGCAGGAAGAGCACAGAGATCCCAGCAGCAACCACTGACCACCAGGGACTGAGGATCCACTCCAACCCTTCTAGAGCAAGGTAGGGAGGCTGGGTGGACCTCTTATTTATTTATCATAACCACACTCTCCCGCAAACCCAAACAACTATTTCACACATTTAACCCTCTTCTTCACCCTGCTGTTCCTCCTCCACCTACTAACTTGACCGCCTCAGACTTTGCAACTCACTTCACTGACAAGATCTATACAATCAGAGAAGAGATCTCTCATCTTTCTTCTTCCACTTACAATACTTCCCCTAACTTCACTCCCTCTGCTGTTCTATGTTCATTCGCACCCGCTACATTGGAAGAGGTTTCTGCTCTGTTCCAGTCCTTCCACCCCAGCACCTGCTCCCTAGATCCAATTCCCTCGAATCTCATGCATACTCTGTCTTCTTCTCTTTCTCCACCTCTCACTAAAATTCTCAATCTCTCTC